ATGTATTATTCCAACTTCCTCCTAAGCACACTGTGTGACAGTTTGAAATAGTTTGAGACCAAATAATCATAAGGTTAGAAAAACACGAGGTAACTAATTCGGGTTGCCGAGTTCCAATTAATTGGATTTATTGCAAAAGAGTACTAAAGTTTACGAATTTGCCATCGACATTGTTAACTTGCGTTAAGTATTTCCAGCCTGTCACTTATTAGGCAATAAAGCCAACATTCCTAGAAGTGCCTATTTTATCTTGACAAATAAGTGTTTCCACACATATGAGAAAGGCTTGCCCTGGCTGCTGTGGCTCAGTTGTTTGGACATCTTCCCATGCACCAAAGGGTCATGGGTTCAATTTCTAGTCAGGGCACATAGCCAGGTTGTGGGTTTGATCCCCAGTCAGGGCATGTACGAGAGGGAACTGATCGATGTTTCTCTTACACATCAGTGTTTTCTCTTTCTCTCACTCCCCTCTCCCTTCTTCTCTTTTTAGAATCAATGAAAAACATATCCTCAGGTGAGGATTTTTTAAAAAAAAGAAAAAAGCTTGAGTCCACTGTGGAAATCAGTTCTAAAAGGGTGACCCTGGATTTTTCACACTGCAGAAAGAAAAAATAATAATGCCTAAAGCTAGTATCCCAAAACATCATTAACTTGGGATGGATTCATTTAATTTGCCCTTTGCTTGAGTTAAGACCTTGTACTGTAAGAATGATAAGAGTGGTGAGCAATTTCATTCAATGTGACTCCATGTACAACACACTCTGGTACTTCCATGTTCATTGGAAAACGATGGATTATTTCATCATCTTGAAGCCTAGAAGAGCGTGAGATTAAAATGAGTAATGTTTGAAGTTTTATTCTGTAAATAGGGACTTTGGTAAGGGAGGAGGGATTTTCAAATATGGTCCAAGACGATAGTCTGAAAGGCTAAACCAGCTGAGATAACTAGACAGTGTAGTCTAATCTTATAGATTCTGATTTCCTGCCAAATGGCATTTAGGAGCCACTGATAATTTAATTTCCTGGCATTTACTGTTACTGGAGATTTTAAGAAAGTAAATTTTTGTTGAGTGCACAATTTCAATATGGAAAAGCTAGTAAGATAAAGATTTTATGTGACATGTGAAGGAACTGCAAGAATGAAATAGGAAAGTGATTTTCAACATGCTATCACTGTGACAGGCACATTTTTCTATATGTTGAGGCTAAAGGCAGTTTTAAAGCTGCCTTATTGTAAACTGCATAGTTCAAGGAGATGGACCCTGGTTTCACCATGTCTCTACTTTCCATTTCTAACTCAATTGTGTAAGGGAACATCCTGCTTTCCTTTTTGGGGAAAGTACTAGTAAGAACTATTCTCTGGTCTTGATAAATCCCTGCTGTGATACAGCTGTCTCGAGCAATTATCTTTGCCTAAGAATGTTTCAATCATCACTCTATGGAGATGAGGGGTCTATGTGCCAGCACAGACTGGATCTGGGCTGGCTCAGAACATGATGCTTGTTCAGTGGTCTGATTCCCTCTTTTGCTGGGCTGGCTTCAGAAACTGACCCAATTCTGAGTGACAGTTCACCAGCCTTCACCGAGGCAGGGTCTGAGACACAGGGTGCGGTTTCCTTAGCTCACACTCTTCTATTTGGTTGCCTATGGCAACAAGATCCAAACAACTTGGACATGTGTTTGTATAAAAAAAAAAGGCTGGGAATGGGACCCAAAGAGGGAGTTTGGGGCTGTTCAGTTAGTGGAAGAGCTGCGGTGAGTATCGGGCAACTGCTCATTGCTTTTCCCTCATTCTTTCTAAATTATGCTGGGGATATCTGCTAGCACAATAACCATGTCTGTGGGTAGTTGGACAAATAGTCTCCATTCTCTGTTTCCTGAGCAAATTAAATACTTGCTATTTATTTGTCTGTGTAAGTTTCTTGTTCAGGGAGAGACAAACAACTTAATATATGTTTAAGAAGCTGAGAACTTGTACATACTCACATTTGGTACCTTTTTGATTACAGGATTAACAGGGTGCCTTAGCAATGTTTGTAATTGCAAGTGGGTGATCTAGAGTTAGGGGTGGGTGGGGATCAGTCAGGATGGGATGAGGGGACTTGTTCATATGAAGGCAGTGGAAGAAGTTAT